AAATATTTCATATAATGTCAGATGGTAAGAAACACTATGAGGAGAAAATAGAAATTACATAAAGGGTTAGAGAGCAACAGGGGTATACTTTCTGTTAGGGTAATCAGGGAAGGAATCTCTGAGCAAGTGCCATTTGAGCAAAGATTTGAGGGAAGGTAGGGAACGAACCATACAAATAGCTGGGGAAGAGCACACCAGGCAGAAGGAATAGCAAGTGCAAAGGGCCTGAGGTAGGTGCACAATTAGTATGTTTGAGGAACTGCAAGGAGACCAGAGTGACTACAGAGGAGTGAACGAGGCGGAGAGTAGTGGAGATGAGGTGACAGGGGCAACAAAAGGCCAATCATGTTGTCGGCAACCCACTCAAACACCTATTGAGTGCATCCTTAGCCGAATAGTGAGGTAAGGAATTTCAGCCTTGCTGGGTTATGGCGGCAGTACTGGGGAAATATGCATAGGTCAAACCAGCTTTCCTTCCAGATATATTCCTCCCGTAGGCCTCTCCTTACCCAGAACCTTTCCCACCAGAATTTCAGATGCAGGTCCTCCTGAGACCAGGCACTGTTTGCCTTGGGAGGGTCATGAACTGGTAGAGATTGACCAAAGCTGTTTCCTGCTGATTGGGGCTGGAACCTGGCTGCGCACCTCCGCCCACGCTCTGTAGCCGTTATTCATCAGATACACTACTGTTTAGAACAAGTCGCACATTTCCCATTGCCTTTTCCTCACCCAGGAAGTCATACAGAGAGTCAGGAGATCTATGTTCTATTCCCTGCTTTACCTGTAAGACAGGTTTTGTGACTTGGGGAATGTTCGATGCTCTGGGCAACGAAAGATTTGGACATAATGTTTTAGTCCTGCAATGTCACAGCTGTGCCTTGACTCTGAAGAGTGGGAAACCTGATTACTAATCCCGGAAGTGGGTCTTCTGCAACCTTGCTTGCACAGCTGCATTTATATGTAAGAACAGTTATGATTCTCATTCAAAGGCAGTGGAGATGGCAGGATTTGACTGGAGCCGCAAGGTCTCTTTCCCTCAAACATCTCCCTTTATTGTTTCTTTCCTCCTGCATACACTGACATTTCTGCCATTAATCATTCTCCACAAAGAAAGGTGGGAGGCCACCCCAAGGGGTGACAGCTAGGCACCAGCAGGCTTGCTCACAATCCCTGTCCAAGCAGGACTCAATCGTCACCCTGAAGAGCAGAAAGAAGGCCATAAGGGGGAACCACAGGCTCTGAGATGATCAGAATTGTGCTAAGGATTCTCAAGAAGAGCTCAATATAGACCGGCTCTGAGCAGCTCTAGGAGCATGAAGAGCCAGGGGAAACCAAGAAACTCACTGGCTGGGGATGCTGTAACCAAGGGGTGACTCTGATGAAAACGTGGTCTATCTCAGTTTGTTCTGGTGCTAGCTGCTGTGTAAATGATTTCTCGAGCTGTGGATGTTTTTAGCCTTTGACGTGCAGTTGAATCCTCCTAATAGGCTTGAGGAGGAGGATACACACTGCACAATTTATCGAGGCCTAGCAACTCAGGGTAAGCCTGTGCATTCCTGCTTTGTTGATCTCACCTCTATGATTTCCCCAGAGTTGTTGCTGCTGCAAAGGATGGTGGAACTCCAAGTATCTCCTTCCCATTAAAAGTACTCAACTGGCCTGGGAGACTTGAGGCAGTGGAGATGGCTTTGGTGGTTGGGATACTTGTGCAACCCAGAGGCTTAGCACCTGAGACCAAGTAGAGATCCCAGCTGGGGGAGGAGGACAGACACTTCCCATTAAACCCTAAGGTCTGGAGCATCCTGGGAAGCTCAGATAGGCCCGGGTACCAAGCCCAAATTGCTTTCTTTATAAGCTCTCTCTGCAAATATCTGGGCATAGTAGGAATCAGGATATTCCTTTCACTTTAAATCAGGAGTCACAAAATCAAATGAAGTGGGCCAGGTGTACACAATTGGGGGTCAGGGGGACTGTGGCAGTTGGAGAATCTATGTCCTATCTAAAGGTAGCAGCCACTACTCAGCGTTTCTTATAGTGGCCATGCTGCAATCTGCCTGAATAGCCCCATCTACCATTTTTTTAAAAATTTAAATTTAAAGCACTTTATTTTCTAGGCCACTTTCAGGTTTACAGAAAAACTGTGCAGAAAGTACAGAGAGTTCCCATATACCCCCTTTTCTCCCTGTATATTTATGTTATTGTGTTCTGTCGAGTCGATTCCAACTCATAGCCACCCCATGTGACAGAGTAGAATTGCTCCATAGGCTGTAATCTTTACAGGAGCAGATCACCAGGTCTTTTCTTCCAGAGTGGCTGTTGGTTCGAAGCCCCAACCTTTCAGTTAGCAGCCAATCTCTTAACCATTGCACCTTTAGGACTCCTTACACTTATTAGCATTATTAGCATCTTGCATGCTTACGGCACATTTGTTACAATTGATGAAGCAATATTGATACATTACTGTTAACTAAAGTTTGTAATTTACATTAGGCTTCACTCTTGATGTTATAGAGTCTCATGGGTTTTGACAAATGCGTAATGTCATGGGTTCACCATAACAGTCTCTTACAGAATCATTTAATTGCCTTTAAAATGTCTTATGTTTCACCAGTAACATCTCTTTTTTTATGGTGGTAAGTATATGTATAACAAAACGTTTGCCATTTCAACATTTTTTATATATACAATACCATGACATTATGCTCATTAATTATGTTCATCATGTTGTGTAACCATCACCATTGTCTATTTCCAAAAATTCCCATCACTTTTTTTTTTATTGTGATCTGGGTGAAGATTTAGAGAGCAAATTCACTTTCCATACAGCAGTTCACATATACTTTGTCTCATGTCATTGA